ACAACGTTTCACTATAAATTCTTGTCTGAAACAAATTTGATTGGCAGACTTGTATTTTTAGCTCAGTGTACTTCCTGGCCTTATGTTGTCCCGCTTTGCACTACATGAAAAAGTAGCTTGAGCTCCATTCAGAAGCTTACTACCAATGGAATGCATAGAACGGTTGCATGTATAGTCTAGGGGAGGGTGTGCCTGTACCGCCCACCTAAGGGGAAATGCCAGTTTTATATTTTATATTCCAACTTGAGTATAAAAAACGTATTTGTGAGACTTCTTCAACTATTGAACTCGTTATTCTCGAAGTGTAGACGCCTAATTCTCCTTAGAATCTACAAAATTGATTGAAAATAAAAGAGAGCCTATTGAGCGGTACTACCCGCCGTCGAGTAATACCGCTCGGCACGATTCCAATGCCGCTCATAAGGTTTTGCGTGTAGCGCTCGCGCCGCAACCTAACCGGTACTCGAGTGCTGTCGAGCAACTACGTGGCCGATCCTATGAGCGGTATTACCGGCTTCGCTCGGCGTCAACAAAATTGTTGATAATTATTGACATGAGTGGAGTTTTGAGTTCGAATTGGTCTCAAATTACGCGTGAAAGTACCACGAATTGAATAACCACAGTTTAATATGAGAATTCAGCGTTTGAAACTATCAAAAACCTTAATTACAAGTCCACAAATTTTGCACTGTAAAGACCTCAAAACTTCGTTACGTGTTTTTTCATATTTGAAGAAATAAATAAAGTGAAATTTTTCCGACAATCACATCCTATCATCAAATTCTTCATGATCAGGAACAGAAATAAATTTTCAAGTTGATGGTTGTGGAGAAAATCGGATGAGCGGTATTACCCGCTGAGCGGTACAGGCACACCCTCCCCTATATCCCGAAATCATGTCTTCAGGGGGCCTATTCTGGAGTTTGAGCTGAACGGATTTGTGAACGGAAGTGGCTCCGTTCACGCATTTCGGTGGGGAACGAAAGTTTCCGTGAACGAATACTAGATTCACATGTCACACGTCTGCACACGTCGTGATACTCTGGATTTGGAGTACATCGTAATAGATGTATCTCCGCAAATTATCCATTTTTCAACTTTTTGTAAAACAAAGAATTGAACTATAATAAATAAATTTAAACAATTAATGTTTAATGTTTCGGTCCCCAGAAGAGGTTAATTATATTCTCATATGTATCCTCACGTGTGAATCGAAAACGACATCCATCAACGAAATTGATTCATATGTGGATCTAGGATTCGTTTACGAAAACTTTCGTTCTCCAACGCGATACATGAACGGAGCCACTTCCGTTCACAAATCCCCTCATCTCAAACTCGAGAATAGGCCTCCTGTCGCACTGCTTGGCTTCTAGCGGTTTACATACTGATAGAAGAGATAGATTAGATACTGCGATTACACGGAGAAAATTATTTTATGAATTTCATCAATTAGTTGTTGAAAAAAGGAATTACCAACCAATTGTTGATTTTCAAGAACTAGTTGGTGAAATTTAACAACTATTCAATTAAAATTCAGAAAAAGATTTTTCGGCTTTTCGGTTTTCCCAATGACATAAAATATCGTATGTCACACGGCGATAAAAGTATTATCTGACGAATGTGAGTATAAAGCCACATCCGCCAGATAATACTTTTATCGCCTAATGACATAATATACTATTTCGTTTGTTTCTTCTAAACGAAAAAAAAGCACACGTTAAAAAAACTTGTTCGATACATGTGCGACGGGGCTTTTTCAGCTCGCGTAATTAGCAGCCCTCGGTTTCTCCTCGGGCCTCCAAGAACTATCTCAAACATCTTTGTGATAAAGAAATTCAAGAGTGATTCAAATTTATTATCGAGTTTATCGTCACCACATGGAGGAAATGAAATAGTAGAGATCCCTATGTCGAGATTATTACTTATCAGTAATATATTAGGAGATCTTCCTACGTTACATAGGATCATTTCCTATGGACATTGTAGGTGTTCCCATGTGAACGAAGTGAACATTCCCTTGTGAAAATAGTAAGCATTCCTATGTGAGTATGGTAGGGGAACTGGTGCTTATACCCCGGACCTAAGAAATAACGATCCTTTTTTCATACCAAACCATGAGTTCGAATAAAAATTACACACTGATAGAAACGATTAGTTATTCTTAACAAATGCATTTGGTAGGAGACGGGGGTCTATTCGGTTTCACCAAATGTTCATTCGTTAATAGTTAATGCACATTTGAGGAGCCTTGTTTGACACAATTTTCACTTTTCAAGTGAACCATTTGTTAACTATTAACGAATATTCATTTGGTCATATTCAACTCTACTATTCGTTAATAGTTAACGATATTTCGAAGTCTTGGATCTTCAATTGTGGTTCCAATTTCGATAAATTATCAAAAAAAGAAGACGGGAGCTGAGTGAGCGGTGCTAGCTGCACGCAGCTAAAACCGCTCCCATCGGATTTCTATATCGCTCAGCACGTAACACGGACGAAAAAATTTAATAGAAAAACTTACCGAATTCGTTAGAAAATTCTATTGAATTTCTATTGAACTGTTCTATTAGTTTTTGGCCGATTCTATTTAAATGTTCAATAGAAAATATTCAGTAGAAAAGTCAATAGAATTCAATTTTTCTATATAACTTATTCTATCAAGATATTTTCTATAGAATTCCCTCGGCTCAAATTTTCTAGTTTCTTCATTTGAATTTTCTTGATGAGAAGAAAAGAAAAATAGAATGAAAAAAACTTAATTTAAGACGAGCAAATTCTATAGAAAATATATGAAAAGAATAAGTTATATAGAAAAATCGAAGTCTGTTAACTTTTTCTATTGAATGTTTTCTATTGAACATGTCAATTGAATCAGCCAAAAATTAATAGAAAGTTTAATAGAAATTCAATAGAATTTTCTAACCAATTCGATAGGTTTTTCTTTTGAATTTTTTCGTGAATGAACCTCTAGTCGATAACTGTCAAAATAAAACAATTGGAAAATTGCTCTTGTATTGTATGTAGTATAAGTAGTTATTTTTGCTAATAAATTAGCCGACTGAATAATAGATTGAATAAGATTTCTTTTTAGCTAATTTTATTTGATTTTCAACTTAGTTGAATGGTATCATCATTATTCTTATTATCCCTTTCTTCCCATACATTGTTGGAAAGTTTTTGAAATTTCATGGAACATACTATAGTAAATCTCATGAGAGTGACATTGAATCGGATCTAGGAAAAAATGGTTATGAAATTTCAAGTTTTTAAGTAGAATTCACGGGAATTCATGAGTTTTCAGTGGGAGTGAGACAGAAATTTCACAACTTGAGTGAATTTTCAGTGGAACATGAATATTCAGAAACAAAATGAGGTGAATTTTCAATTTTTCTCTGCATTTTCCTGATTTTGTTGAATTTTCACAGAATAGTTGAACTGACAAATCAAGGATTTTATTGATTTCCAGATCATTGGAACAGAAAATCAATGGAATATTTAATTTTTCAATGACAAGATTTCCTAAAATTTCAGTGGAACTTGAACATGATCAAAATTTCCGGAATTTGAAACGGAAAATTCAGACGAAAATTTTTAACAGTGTACAACCGGTTGTCTTTTTTACGGTTCTATCTCTCCCCCCAGCCCTTTCAGAAAATATTAATAGAAAAATTTTATTTATACATACTTGAGTGAATTTTAAACATCATTTGAAGAAACTGTCAGAAAGTTCACTTTCATGGAAATTCATGAAAAATTTGAAATTTTTAACAATCATCATAAAAGTCAAATCAACCAATATTGTTATCGTAATCATCTTTCACCTTTGACTATGAACGAATTAATTTGAAACATGATATTCAAAGATATCCTCGGAATTCTGATTTCCAAAAAATACAAAATTTTTGCAACTTTTCAAATAAATCAAAACATCGATTGTTGCTATTGCCTTCGTCTTCGACCTCGGTCAAAAGGACATCCAAACAAATTTTTTAACTAAATTTAAAAAAAAAAGCTAAAATCATATGAAACCTAGGGCGCAAGGAGTATTTTGAAAAAATGATGTTGTTCGAGGTTATACGAGGCAAAATCCTTCGGATCTACGATTTTCCCTAGTTATTCTCATATTCCGTCATGCCACAAACTGTTCAATGGGTCCCAAGGACTAGTGAAGACTTGTAATTTTCACCGACGTATCCCCTGCAAACACAAAACACATGCAAATAATCGAGTTCTCAGATTGAGTGAGAGACAGTGTGGGAAAAGGAAGTGGTTCTGGAAAAAATCAGTTGTTAGGCGGTATTGGCTGTTGAGCGGTACAGGCATCGCGTCTCCTAGGATTTCCGCCTATGATCATGATCATTTTTGTGGCGCGAGCCACAAACAAATTATTATTTCGAAATTCATATAACGTGTCTCGAATATTCTATATCGTCGTATTCGAGATAAACATCATTCTATTCTTGTCTCTCACGAAATTTCTGGACAATTCTCGAACCTTCCATAACAAAAGGTATTTAAACCCGCACGCTCCCGACCACATATATCAGTCGAAATCTGTCCGATTCTAAAACTCGATCTAATCACATCTAACGTGCTAAATACAACACCTTTATTCTGCCAAACCACGAGTTATTATTCTGCGACATACACCTAACCGCCACATTTTTATTATTTTATTCTCTTCGTGCAAAAACATGCGGAACATGAAAAAAATATCCGATTCTCAGTGTCCAAATAGTAAAGAAGTTTCGTCGTAAAGAGTTCAAAACAATTATCACAATTGTGGCCTAGATTCCATATCACCACAAATTATTCAGCAGATTTTATCTTGACGAATCAATTACATTACCAGCCTGTTAAAGTAGAACCATCAGAAAATGCTCCCTTTCTAAGATATTCGCTTGAATACTAATACGATCGATGGGGTGTTAATTGAAGGTCAGCCTAATCGATAAATGGCCATCCCCACTTAAATGGGAAATTGCCTTTTGTTTCAGAACGATTCATTCTTCGTTGTCGCACGTTTCAATCTGGAGAAGACCCGTATCGAGTTATTAATCGCCACTATAGTACCAACGGTACTGTTCATCATCAGCCTGACATCACTGATAATTATCACTCGTTCTGTACAAGTTGGTGATGATGCTAAAATGCGCTGCCGTTATTGCACCGATGGCCAGAGAAATGAGGATGAGGACGAGGGACTGTTTGAGGCTAACTTATCAACTCCACAAGGTATTTCCAACGAGAGTGAAATACGGAGTGTGGAACTTTAGCAGTTCAAGCCGGGTTTTAAGGATAATACGAAATATGAGAAGGTCCCTTTGATTGATGTGGATGATGCGGAGGATTCTTTTTAAATATTTGGGTCCTTTTACTAGGTGACTAAATATATCTTGATGTGTGGAGATACTTATTAACTTCACGGTGAAAAATAAATTTTTAGTTTCTAGTAAAATTCTCTGAACTTCAGAACTTTGTCGTAGTAGAATTTAGTGGGCGAAAAATTCTGGAAATGAATTCAGATTTTCATCAAATTTCCACTCATTTTGAGAAAATTCTCCCTAAATTCTCATTCTCTACATTTTCTCTTATTTTAAGGATATCTAAGTACTTTGGCTATTTTTTCTGCAGTGAAATGCTTTTCTACTTTTGTAGTCGAACATCAGAGCTTTCATTTGAGCCCTATTGAACCCTACGTTCCCGAACATTTTATAATGATTTTATTGTTTAAACTTTGCAGATCTGAATTTGAATCTCGATATTGAATCGTTAGAAAACATTTTAAAAATCTGAATAAAAATTAAGAAAGTTTACTTTGGAGGACGATTGATGAAATAATTTGAAAATTGCAATTTTTGAAAATTACATGCATTTTCTATAAATTTATAAACAATTAATTTTCCGCCATAAAAATCGTTTGTTCGGAGTGGTAAAAAATTATTTATATTCATAATTTTACCAGAAATCGATTTCATGCCTAGAAAAATAAGATTTTTGAAAGTTTAAACAATTACAATTATTTAATTATGAACAACGAATGGTCAAAAAAATAATAATTCTGTGGAAAATGTACTTTTGATGATGCTGAATATTCATGATTTTTTACAAATTTTTCTCACGCAATTCAATCGAGAATTTAATTGACAAATTTGATGATTGAAAATGTTTGAATCCATAGTGTGGTCTGTACCAAACTGTAAAAGACACTCGGATATCCTCAAGAGAATCTTGGTTCTGCAATTCAGAACCTTTGGATTTAAAAAACAAGAACCTCGGACTGTTTGAATTAAGATATTTATGGTATTAAGGTTGGGCAAGTAGGAGGTGAGACGGAGGGGAATCTATTGTTCTCTCGCAGAAAACCAATCGCTGAACGAAAAAAACGATATTTCAATTACAAATTTTCAATCTATTTCGACCATTTTTGTTTTCAAAATATTTTTTTAATAACTTTTCGATTTTTTCTCACATATTTCAAGCCTTCTTTTATTTTTCTAGCTTGTCTTTTGGGTAATTGGAAAATAATTAATATGGATAGAAAAAGTGATAACGTCGTGCCGTTCGAGGTACAAGTTGGCAGCACTGATTCACTCAGCTGTTAGGTTCCTTCCCATAGCGAAATGTATCATCACAACTCCATTCGTATTTTCCACGCTTACCCCTCCACGATTCCTAACTTCGACGTTGTCGCTATTCCAAGTTGCGCACGCAGAATTTCTATTTTTCGTGAGTTTTTTAATTATCCCATCTAAACAATTCTCCTAGGCCACTTGGATTTTTTTTTATATTCCTCCATGAAAGCTTCACCCAAGAGCGAAATTTCAAGAAAATAGCGATTTTTTTTATTTCCAATTTTTCTTTTGAATTCCCGTAAGAGTCCGTGCTAAAATAAATTCTTTACAAACATTTCTGTGTTTTACCCATTCTCCTAAGCTGTTTAGGATTTAGCATAGGGATTTTGAAAAAAACTAAAAATGTATATAAAAAATCCTTAATTTCTTCACTTTTTTCGACCTTTCCTGACTACGCCATAAATACCTTAAATTAAGAACATACTCGTTCTTGAATTGGTGATTCTTCCCGTTCTAAAATTATTCACGTCCATGAATCATTATTGAAACTATATCACTTAATCTGAAAACCAAATGGTTCTAGATTACGAATCTTTATTCTCAAAAACAGTAATTTTATTCTGGAAACTAGAAATTTTTTTTCCGTGTGAAAGATGTTCATACAAATGACAGTATGAACCAGCTAGAGAATCGATTGCATTTTTTACTGTTCAATCAACGAATGAAGATGAATATCATATTCAAAGCAAAATGTTAAAACGTAACAATGTTCCACACTCCATTGAAAATGAAATGTTTTTCATCATTAGTGGAGATTGACTAAATCGCAGAAGGGATTCATTCTCAAAATTATCATGACTTGGATCCATAGAAGCTCTTTACGAATTATAAGTAAAAAGTTCAAAAAATCAGGATCGTACACTGTTAGAAATCTTTTGAAAATTAAATAATAGTTGCACTTGAATTCTCAATATTGTGAAGTTGAATTCAATTTAAGATCAAATCGTTCATGGAATCTCTCATTTAGTTTGGAAATTCAGGATAATTGGGTTCTTCAGGTTAGATTATCACTTATAGTTCAATGACATCTAGAATTTTCAAATTCATGGCAGAAATTATATCCAACTGAATTTTCAGTAGATTAAAAATTCAGGGAAATTGTTGCTTGAATTTTCAAATTATTTAATTTCCATTATTATGTGGGCCTGAAAAGTGCAATTCCATTGAATACTCCAGAATTCAACTGATGTTTCAATAACAAAATACACGAAAATTTCGTATGAATGAGCGATTGTGAAAAATATCAAGATTTTTTACTTGAAATTTCAGGAGTAATTTTCTAACAGTGTAGATAATTTCTCGCAAATTATTGCATCGGCACAAAATTATGGAAAGATCGGAGCATTCTCTTCCTAAACAGAGACACGAAGCAGTTATAACATCTTAAATTTTGAGCTAGGCGGGGCCAATAAACTTTACAATTTGTTCATAATTTAAAGTTTATATATGTATCTAGCCATTATATGCCTTTCGGAGAAGCTATTAATGAATATCTTGCTGAATATTTGATACTCACGTATATCCAATTAATGTTACTCAAGATTTTCTGACTGGTCATGCATTTGATGTAATTTTTCTGAAAAAAAATGTAAGGAAAACTGTATAGAAAATTTCAAAATTGAAACCTTGGGAATACCAATTTTGAAGGTGTTCTGGAAAACCGGCAAAAAATTTGAAAATATCACACATTCTAGATCATTTAGAATCGATACCGTCATACTTTGATTACAAAAAGATATATATTTTTTGCTATGACTGATAAATTAACTATCAAATGAATAATATCCAATATCTTCTTCACGAAATTGATAAATTGGTAAAGTCTACATTAGCATGATTTTTTTACTTAAAAGCTCGAATTTTTTGCTATGAAAGGGAGGTAAAAGTGAGAAAATTGGAATTATTTTTATAACAATTCACCCGAAAAATATGTTACTAACCGAATAAAAAAATTATGAAATTCATATTATTTAAGGAAAATAGAAAAACATGATTTTTTCAATCAGTCCGTAAGAGAAGTCGTTAAGATAATAAGGAAATTAATGCACTGATTAAACAACTCCAGAACAGCCTGAAGTACTCAACTTATGAATAGTGAATTGAAAAAACTATCGTCATTATGCACATATATGGAGATGCAACGAGAACCAGGCGTTCATTGTAGAGCAAAATGTAGTTAACGATCTCATTATCGAATGCACATACAGCGTAAGGCTTTCAACGTACAGTCGACCCACAAAGCTCGTGAGTGAAATGCGTAATATTGTTAATAGGAGGCTTGAATTCAGGCTGGAGGAGTTCATTAAAATATCTTTAAAATCTATGACTTTCATTATTGAAATGTGTTGAGAGTTGGTTGGAGTATTTCAAGAAGATTACGTTAATTACATTATGTTAATTACATTAGAGGAGTGAAATAGTATATTACGTTACAAGTGTGGAAAAGAGGCAATGTTAATACGAGTGGGATAATGTTTTTAGAGACAGTCATCGGACACGCGCAGCCGAGTGAGCCAGGTTCCGAACAACATATTAAAATGTTTAAAGAATGTTCAAACGGCGTCTTATTCAAATTAATGAAAAAACATTGGTTTTTCAATGGTTGGCGCCAAAAACACTGAGAACTTCAGCTCAACTCAATCAATCGGAAAAGAAAAAATACCAGCGTGTGGAGGAGAAAATTCTGTATAAATTTGAAGTAAGCATCAAAATTCTACAATCAATTGTTTACACATTGTTTAGCATCATTTGGAGTAAAAGAGATTTGGAATTTTTCATGTAAAAATAATGCGCTATAGAATATTGCTTCTCACTTCAAATTCATAGATAATTTTCTCCTCTACACGCTAGTATTTTTTGTTTTGGAATTGATTGAGCTGGGCGGAAAATATCCGTGTTTGTGGTGCTAACAGTTGGAAAATCGATGGTATTTGATTAACTTAAATAATACGCCGTTTAAACATTCTTTACCCATTTTGATATGTTATTCAGGAGATTTTTGCCCATCGATTGACAATTTTTCTCACAGAGTCGTATTAGCGAGGATCCAAATACCTTCATTGACTAAACTACAAACGCTTGGCTCAACAAATCTATCTGTTCCTAAAAATATTAACAGATGAGTTTAGCGTTCACCCTTTTCCACGCGCGTAACTTATATTATTTTTTGAAATTAGTGTTTGGAAAAGTCATACTAATATCTTTTGACTACCAAACTAGAAAGACAGCTGTTGTAAACGAAAAGTGAATCCCAGAAGCGAAGTCACATTTTTATGACTTCGCTTCTGGGATTCACTTTTCGTTTAGGGTAGATGGTGCATGTACCGCCCACCTAAGGAAAATGAGTCTTTTTTTCCAGCCTCGCACTCTACAATGAGTCATAAACGATTAGAATGAGTTCTTTGAGGTGTTTACTCGATGATGTGAAGAGGACTGATTTTTTATTAACATTAAACATATTTAATTATGTAATTCAATTGCCATCGGCCAGTGAGCGATGGAATCGAACTTTGAGGGTAATACCGCCCGGCATGCGTCCTTGTGTTGGCGACTTTTTTTAGCAATGCAGACCAACCGTTATAATTTTTCCTATTTTCAGCCTTCGTTTCCATTTTTTGGCTCCATTTTGAGAAAGATTTCAC